AACATAACAAAGATTGTGAGGATTGCACAGGACTGGGCAGTGTCTCGTTTTTTGTACGTAGGGTCACTATGAGTTGAAACTGACTCGACAGCATCTAACAACAGTGGTAAGTCATTCACTCTCTTTCTATGATGAGAGTATAAATGTATACAGCTGGTCTATGAGGCAATTCTGGAATAACATTATATTTTATAGACATTCAATTAAATATTCCTTTCTAGTTTATAGATACTTATTGCTACATAACAAATTACTCTAAAATTTAGCAACTTAAAACAACAATAAACATTTATTATCTGACAATTTCCATAGGACTGAATTCAGAAGTAGCTTAGCTGGGTGGTTCTAGCTTAGGGTTTCTCATGAAGTTGCAGTCAAGATTTCAGCTACACAGGGGCGGGAGTCTGGGGACCATACTTTCATGGGACGTCTAGGTCAATTGGCATAACGAAGTTTATTAAGAAAATGTTCTGCGTCCTACTTTGGTGAGTGGCGTCTGGGGTCTTAAAAGCTAGTGAGCGGCCATCTAAGATGCATCAATTGGTCCCAACGCACCTGGAGTAAAGGAAAATGAAGAACACAAAAGACACAAGGAAAGGATTAGCCCAAGAGACAGAAAGGGCCACATAAACCAGAGACTGCATCATCCTGAGACTGGAAGAACTAGATGATGCCCAGCTACCACCAATGACTGCCCTGACAGGGAACACAACAGAGAGTCCCTGTTGGAGTGGGGAAAGGGTGGGATGCAGAACTCAAACTCTAGTAAAAAGACCAGACTTAATGGTCTGACCAAGACTGGAGGAACCCAAGAAAGCATGGCCCCCGGACTCTCTGTGAAGCTGGAACTAAAACAATTCCCGAGGCCAACTCTTCAGACAAAGATTGGACTGGACTGTGGGACATAAAATGATACACATGAAGAGTGTGCTTCTTAGCTCAAGTAGATACATGAGACTAAATGGCCAGCTTCTGTCTGGAGGTAAGATGAGAAGGCAGAGAGGGTTAGGAGCTGGTTGAATGGACATGGGGAATCAGGGGTGGAAAGGAGGAGTGTGCTGTCACAGTATAGGGAGAGCAATTAGGTCACATAACAATGTATGTATAAATTTTTGTATGAGAGACTAACTTGAATTGTAAACTTTCACTTAAACTACAACAATAAAATATATATATATATATATATAAAGATTTCAGCTACAGCTGCAGTCATCTGAAGGTTTGACTGGGGCTAGAAGATCCACTTCCAAGATGGCTCACTCACATGGCTGTTGGAAGGAGGTCTCAGTTCCTCACCACACAGACTTCTCCACAGGGCTGGCTTCCCCCAAAACAAGTGATCACAAAGAAGTAAGGTGGAAGCTGCAATGACCCATCCTTTCTTCTCTCCTGAGAAGTATCTCCTTGTAATGATTGTGAAAAACTTTGGCCATCTGAGGCTCTCTGGAGATTCCTATGACAGAATCTAATTCTTCCTGGCACTGCAATGGTTTTTATGACTTAGAAAGTCACATACTGTCATTTCCAAAGTACACTGTCTCCTCACTTATTGACATGGTTAGTTTCCAAAGACCAGGTTGTTATGCGAAATTGGTGTTATGCCAAAATGGAAGATGACCACAAAAGCTCACAAAATGGAGGATGACTACATCATTACATAATTGCCAAACCACTGAGAATCATAGCCAAGCCAAGGTGACACAAAACTTTAACCATCAAAGCCAGCACCTCGGCATTCATTACTATGTCGTTAATGAGCAAAATAGCTGGATAGTAGATTTTCTACAATTGTCATAAATGCAAAATGTCAGATAATGAGATAGTCGATGAGTGAGGAGAAAGTGTATCTTACTTTGAATAGCCCTATTCAGTGTGGGAGGGACTACAGGAGAGTATAAATATCAGGAGAGTGATTTTGGAGTTTGGCTTCCAAAGAGAGTCATTTCTTTCATACTTGAAGGTTTGTAGCTGTGAGAGCTCATCTATTAAAATGTGGGCCAGGCCTTCTGTCAAAGGAATTCCAAGGCATATTATCTTAGTCATCTAGTGCTGCTCTAACAGAAATACCACAAGTGGATGGCTTCAACAAAGAGAAATTTATTCCCTCACAGTCTAGTAGGCTACAAGTCCAAGTTCAGGGCATCAGTTCCATTCTTCCATTTGGCTCTGGAGGAAGGTCTGTGTCATCAATCTTCCCTTGGTCTGGGAGCTTCTCTGCCCAGGAACCTCAGGTCCAAAGGACGCGCTCTGCTCCCGGCACTGCTTTCTTGGTGGTAGGAGGTTCCCAAATCTCTCTGCTTGCTTCTCTCTTTCATATCTCAAAAGAGATTGACTTAAGACACTATCTAATCTTATAGATTTCATCAATATAACTGCTGTTAATTCATTTTATTACATCATAGTGATATGATATACAACACAGGGAAATCACGTCAGATTCCAAAATAGTAGACAATACAATACTGGGAATTATGACCTAGCAAAATTGACAGATATTTTGGGGGGGACACAGTTCAATCCATGACACATCTATTTTGAATTATTCTTGGCGTCACTTCTGAATATGGATAAATTCTATTATATAGTTCCATTATCTTGCTAGCTAACAAGTGGAGCAATGAGAAGACATCATAGTATAAGAGAAGAAGTTGGAAAATCAGAAAGAAGTAAAGCTTTATTGGGGAATATTTTCATAGTGATAACTTTCATTTCTAGTGTTCAGGAAAAGGGTTTATAGTTAACCAAGGAATGGATCATAACAACAATTATTTTTCATGGGTAGTACTTGTTGTTGTTGTTAGGTGCCGTCCAGTCGGTTCCAACTCGTAGCGACCCTACGTACAACAGAACAAAACACTGCCTGGGCCTGCGCCATTCCCACAATCGTTGTTATGCTTGAGCCCATTGTTGCAGCCACTGTGTCAATCCATCTCCTTGAGAGTCTTATTCTTTTTCACTGACCTTCTACTTTACCAAGCGTGATGTCCTTCTCCAGGGACTGATCCCTCCTGATAACGTGTCCAAAGTATGTGAGATGTAGTCTTGCCACCCTTGCTTCTAAGGAACACTCTGGTCGTACTTCTTCCAAGACAGATTTGTTCGTTCTTTTGGCAGTCCATGGTATATTCAATATTCTTCTCCAACACCACAATTCAAAGGCGTCAATTCTTCTTTGATATTCCTTATTCATCATTCAGCCTATACTCTCTCTCTGATTATAATACACCCTATTTCAATAAGACTGATGGGAATGATGTGCTTGTTTTACTCACATTTTCTAAAAGCATGAGTTTTCTAAAGTATGAGTTCCTCTGAATTCCATAGCACTTTACCTGCACTTCTTTAGAGAAACTTTACCTTTATATCTTTGATGATAATTATATATATGTCAAATTCATTCTACTATCTCTAGTCAGAGTTCAGTTCTATTTCATCTCTACTCTCTATTCATAACCTAATACAGTTATGTTCTCTACATCCCTCCCCAATCACAAATTTCTCCACTTTTATGCAAGCAGATAAACGGCTGTGCTTATTGCCTTAGAGGAGAGATGTGGCTGCAAAAGTCTCAAAAGGTTCTGAGTCTTTACTTGACTTTTGTATTCAAAAAGCCCAAGCCCTCAAAAGATTAGAGTGGATTTCAGAATAGGGAAAATGTCTATTAAAAATAGCAGGAGAGTGCACAGAGATCTCCCTACTCTAGACCCTGAAAAGGGTTATGCAGACAGAAATAAGGCACATCTCAGCAGCAACAAGACAATGTGATGGCCAATGACACTGAAAAGCAAATGGCTCCTCGCCCTTCCACTTTGCATTACATAAAACTACCCCACTTGCCTAGGAACTTAGATTTAAAAACTCCGGAAGAGAAGATAGGGCAAATTGCCTGAAATTAAGTTTCTGCCACCTCATCAGAATGAAGCTTGAAATACACAAGGTTAAATTACAGGAAAGTAAAGAAATTTCCACCACCCATCTGTCAGCTTGTCATACTATGGTGCCTTGTGTGTTGCTATGATGCTAGAAGCTATACCACCAATCAGTATTTCAAGTATCAGCAGGGTCACCCATAGTCGACAGATTTCAGAGGAGCTTCCAGACTAAACAGACTACTAAGAAAGGCCTCGTCAACTTCCAAAAATTAGCCAATGAAAACCCTACGGATCATAGAATATTTTCTGTGACTTCCACTCACTTACTTCGGATGTGTCATCAAGAGGGACCAATAGCTGGAGGGGGACATCATGTCTGGTAAAGTGAAGGGCCAGCAAACATGAAGGAAACCCTCAGTGTGATGGATTGACACAATGACTTCAACAATAGGCTCAAACACACTAAGGATGTTGAAGATGGTACAGGACCAGGCCACGTTGGGTTTTGTCATACACGGGGTCACCACAAGTCAGAGCCGACTCCACGGCAACTAACAACAACAATGAAGGTGACACTTATTGCACACCTTTGTTTGTGGATTGAGATTCCTATTTGCTACATTACTTACTCAGTATATATTTGTTGAATGAATAACATGATCCCTTTGCTGGGAGTAGATGCTTTTTGATGAGGCACATAGACAACGTGGACTTAGAGGAGCACAAGGGCCTTAGTACCCAGAATTATGACTACTAGTGACCATGGGGTGGTGGTGGTGGTGGTGGTAAACCATCTCCTTTAGTAACTAGAGTATTTCCCTTGGGACTCCTGAGAGAAATGTAGGAGGGGTTTATTTCCCTGGATTCCTAATGGTGAGGCAAAGTTCCTCAACACGAAAAAGGGCCAATTTTAGTTTCAGGTAACGTATGTGAAAGCGGTTAGCATTGGGCTTGGAACTGTAGGTGCTCAATGAAGTTTAGCATTTCTTTACTCTCCGTCCTTTTTTTTTCGGGTTTTAATTCTTCAAATCGACACTCGACCCCCCCCACCCTGGGCCCGCCTCCTTCTGTCTGTAGGATTGGCTCTTCCTCCATTTCCGGCCTCTGGGACCCGGGCACACTACCGCTTCCGGTGTCATGGCGGGCTGAGGTTCCAGCAGTTGGTGAGGCGGCTGCAGGTCCCTCCCTGCGGAGCCGCTGGTCCGGCGGGCGGGGATGTGACCGCGGGCCCTGCCGGCCTGCCCCGGGCGTCGCGTCAGCTCCCGTGTCAGTGCCCTCAGTCTACGCGATGGCGGGGTCCGGCTGCGCATGGGGCGCGGAGCCGCCGCGGTTTCTGGAGGCCTTCGGGCGGCTTTGGCAGGTACAGAGCCGCCTGGGCAGCGGCTCCTCGGCGTCGGTGTATCGGGTGCGCTGCTGCGGCACTCCTGGCTCGCCCCCTGGCGCCCTGAAGCAGTTCTTGCCGCCCGGAACCACCGGGGCTGCGGCCTCAGCCGCGGAGTATGGTTTCCGCAAAGAGAGGGCGGCGCTGGAGCAGTTGCAGGGTCACCGGAACATTGGTAATTGCCGCTATCTCCCATCTCTTCTTGCCCACGTCCCAGTCGAAGCATAACCCTCTCTCTTCTAAGCCTGGCTTTGCGTCTTTCATCCTTTAGGCGGGTGAAGTGGATCGGGTCATCCCATTATTACCTGACCCAGGCCTCTTTCTCATCCCTCTTTTCACTCTGTTACTGTCTGCAATACGGTGGAGTTGGTGGTCTGCTTTCTCCATGTCTGTCACATAGTAGATGCTCAATAAGTTCTGCTTTGCTTCGGGCCTCATCAGAGAATGCTGCACCTATTAGCATAGAGAATTTTCTGTAGTGAAAGGAGGCATATCTTTGCTAAATTGTCATTCCGTGTGGAAATGTTGGAATCTTTGCATACCAGTGGAAAATGGGAAATATTTCCAGCAGTTTTGACATCTGTGCCAATAACTCACAGAGATATCACTTGATATATATTTATTTGGAATATATTTGGAAGAAATGACTCAGTATTATATAGGAGTCCTTAGGAGGGTAGGAAATTTAGAAACACTGTAATTTTGCTCTTGTAAGACCATTTTCTGACTCAGATGTTCAAAATGTAACATGATCACTGATGGTTGATCCATGAAAACTATAATTTTATAATTAGTTAAAGAGACCTTATAATTAGTTAAAGCTTTGACTAGTTAAGAAATGTCTTACTTCCTGGCAAGCATAATTCGTATTTAATTTGAAGCGTGACCTTTTTTATATTATCCTGGCGAAGAATTTCCTAACATTACTGCTGCTTTTTTTTTTTCTTAGCTTGGCAAATGATGTATCACTTTAACCCTGGTATTTAAGAAGGAAGATTTTTTTGGGGCCTAAAGACTTGCTGAATCTCCACAAGATTAAGTTAAAATGCCATCTGGAAAGTCTTAATCTCTTTTTAAAATTTTTTTAAAATCTCTTTTAATGTTTAGGTTAATTGCTATTTCAGATCAAACAGCAATCTTCAGTTTGATTTTTACATATTATGATATTCATTTTAAGAGAGTTACATAGTATTTGGATTTTTACTTTTGATCATCTTTGCTCCGCATCTTAAGTGCATATGGTGAAAGACGCTGTTTCACTGTTGAGTGCTTGGTGAAACAATTTGAATCATTGTGCCATATTTAATCTCTTAATGCTAATTAGCTTTTTAAAGGTTGTATCATCTTATTTTATTAATGTAATCCCACTGCCCAAAAATCTTATTTGTGGGTAAAATAAATTATAGTGGAAGCTTGCTTGCTCATCAGTGTTAATCCTTATGTAGACTATCCCAAATTGGCATTGCAGAGTTATCTACTTTAGTAGTAATTTATTCCAAATATTATTTTAAAGTATTATAATTTGTTTCTTTTTCTAGTGACTTTGTATGGAGTCTTTACAATCCATTTCTCTCCAAACGTGCCATCACGCTGTCTGTTGCTTGAACTCCTGGATGTCAGTGTTTCGGAATTGCTTTTATGTTCCAGTCACCAGGGTTGTTCCATGTGGATGATACAGCATTGTGCCAGAGATGTTCTAGAGGCCCTTGCTTTTCTTCATCATGAAGGTTATGTCCATGCAGACCTCAAACCACGCAACATATTGTGGAGTGCAGAGAATGAATGTTTTAAACTCATTGACTTTGGACTTAGTTTCAAAGAAGGTAATCAGGTAAGAAACACCCTCCACCCCTTTATAGTTTAAAATCTAATGGTCTAAGGCAAATATTTTAAAATAGTAAACATGGCTCAGTAGGGACTTAAGAGGCACTTCTTGTCTAAAACACTGAAGCACCTGGGGATGAAGCAAACAAAAAGAATTTCAGTGCCACTGTATAAAAAAGAGTATATGTTTGGGTCAGGTAGGGGGAGCTAGTGAAGTACAGGAGAGCTAGCTCTGGAATTATTATAAGCACTTCACCTACATAAAATGCTTCTTTATTATGTGGCCGTTTGTTTAATCCCTGAGTTACTGCTCTTGGTGTCTTCAGTGTTTGGGCCCTGTCTCATGGCAGAATGCACGTGACATTTGCGGCAAACCCTCTACTCTCCATGGTTTATCAGCTCTTGGCAGAATGTCCTAATTTAACAGTGGTGCCTAAGAAGTAAGAGGCTCTCTAGAGAATGCTTTATGAGCAGCAGTATGGAAAGTGTACAGCTTGTCTGTGAGAACGGCCCAGTTAGGGAACAAAAGATTATGGTGGCAAGGACGAAAAATTTTTGGCATTCAATTTGGCAGTGGTTTACTGCACTTTTAAATACACTGTAGAGATGGATGGAAAATAAGCAACTTTTTGTTGGTTGTAATATTTATTTATCTCCTTTAGGATGTAAAGTATATTCAGACAGACGGGTATCGAGCTCCAGAAGCAGAACTGCAAAATTGCTTGGCCCAGGCTGGCCTGCAGAGTGATACAGAATGTACCTCAGCCGTTGATCTGTGGAGCTTAGGAATCATTTTACTGGAAATGTTCTCAGGAATGAAACTGAAACATACAGTCAGATCTCAGGAATGGAAGGTAAACGGCACCAGTGCTTTGCTTTGGGGTCCTTAATCCCAATTCAAGAGTACCCAGTTTATAATGATTCTCATTGAGGACTGATTGCTTCATCCCCTCCCTACTCCTCTTCTTGCATTGATGGTACCTTAAATGCCACTACTGCCAGGTATGCTGGTGAGCATTGCATTCTTGCTGTTTCCAGCGTGAGACCTAGCATAAAGTAAGTGGTTGATAAAATGTTTGAATGTATGTGTTTTCCCAAAGAAACAAAGTGATTTCTTTTGTTCAGTAATTTAGTTGTACAGTAAAACCTGCAAAAGCCAGAACCTGTGTAATGTGGAAATCTGTCAGAGAAGGAAAACACAGATATTTTCCACTAATAGAGACCGATGAAAAGCGGTATGACTGCACCCTGTCAAAGGCAGAAAACTTACGAGACCCAGAAGAACAAGGCAGTCCTGTCCGGTTCCAGCTCTCACAGGTTTCACTGTACTAGGTTCTAAAGAAGGAGCCCTGGTGGCAGAATGGTTAAGCACTTGGCAGCTAACCAAAAGGTCAACGGTTTGAAACCAACAGTTGATCTGCAGGAGAAAAGACCTGGTGATCTGCTCCCCTAAAGATTACAGCCATAGAAAATCCTATGGGGGCAGTTCTTCTCTGTCCTGTAGGGTCGCTGTGAGTCGCAGTCGACTTGATGACACACAGCAACAGCAACTTCTGAGTATTAACTAATACAGTAGTAGGTTATGAGCTAACTGATAATCTTTACATAACCTTTTCCAGCTAATGCTTTGTAGTTAAAAAAGTATTTTAGTGCACAAAGTTACTGAATCCTCCTAACAACTCCATGAGGATATTTAGAGTGGTTATTGGTTTTTCTTATTTTACAATGAAAAAGTGGAGGCACAGACATCCAAAGCATCTTGCTCCAGATCATACTACTGGGGTATTGCAGACCTGGGCCCCAAATTTTGTTCCTCCTACTCAAAAAGTTCAGTGTTCCGCCCACAATTCCACCCTGCTCCCTATTTATTCCGTACGTGAACTACACTGGTACAACTGCTGCTTTATAACATTGTTTCTGTGGGAACGTGTTCAAGTTTGAAGCCACTGAAATGTGGATGAACTCTTCATATGTTCCTAAGTTAGGAATTAACGATATCATGTCTTCAAACTTATTGTCAGACTTTAATGTGATATCAGCATCCTTTAGGCTTGAGGCTTAATAAATAACATAATCCTTAAGAATTACTGGTTTTGATATTAAACTTTTTTTTTTTAGCATCTAATACATAGTTTAAAAAAAAAAGTTGTCAAATCAATTCCAACTCATGGCAACCTCGTGTGTCAGAGTAGAACTGTGCTCCATAGGGT